CATAATAGTCAACTAGCATATCATATATCACAGAAATATCTATCATACTACATAACTCATAGATAAACATATAGGGATGCCGTAGACTCCCTCCAGGGTCTTAACTACTTTCCATGGGCTGGCCCACATGGTCTCTACCTAGGAATGCCATGGGCTCCCCCACATGGTCTTATATCCAACTGCCATGGGCTCCCCCCGGGGTCTTCACATATCCAGTCAATAAGTACTAGCACATTCTCATATACATGCATACCAGACATATCAGTAGTGAATCCACAATAAACACTACAACTAACTAAATGGGCCGACCTTGGTGCCTTCGACCCATTGGTATGGTGAGGAGACTCACCTCTGTCTGCTGAATTCCGAAAGATGCTCTTCTCACAGTCTGTAACCACCCGTGTTGAACAATAATATCATTAACCCAAGGTTAGGGTTGAATATAATCCAATTAAAGAACCCAAGCCCCAAGTCCTTTCATAATGGCCCAAAAGTCTTCCTTTACTAATGGGCCCACAGTCCATGTCCAAAATCATTAATGGGCCTCATGGCCCAATAAAGCCCAACCATAGTAACCATGGCCCAAAACAGATAAGTTGGCCCACTAACTCAAAACGTGACCAGGCTCAATATCTGATTAAGGCCCAAAGGGCTTACAAGCTCAAAACAAGTCCAAGCCCATCTGGGGTGCGTACGCCTTGCGTACCACCCTTGTACGTGCAGCGTACTGAGTCCCTGAGTTGTACGCGCTACGTACCCTAAATTAAGCCCAGTGTACAAAAAGATTAAGCACCTTCTTCCATTAAGTGCTTAATACGTGATTTTCTAACGTCTAATATCAGATTTGAGCTCATTAAGACCTCCTAGGGCATAAAGTTCGCAACTTTATGCCCTTACATGCTATATGGGACTTAAAAAACTTCATTCTTCACATTAGGACTTCATATAAAGCTTCAAACTCATGCATGGAGTCTAGATACTCTTCAAGCTAGAACCTTTATTCAGTCTCTGGAGTTGCTCAACTCTCAAGAGAAGGTCCAAAACCAACTAAAGTGACAATATAGAAAACCCTAGCTAGATCTAATGAATAAGATGACAAGATCAAGGCTTTATACCTCCAGAAAGCTCTTCAAGGTGATCTAGATGTAAGTTCTTGGAACACAATGCCACTTCAAGCTTGCTCACTAACTTCTTCTTCTCAAATAAGCTCCAAAATGGCCACCAACACAATTCTATGCTCCAAAATCACACTCTCAAAGGAAAACTGAGGTAAAGGGACGAAATGAGGCTCAAGAGGCGGATTAGGGTTTAGTCCCAATGACTTAAGGGTGCTTAAATAGGTGTCAAGTCCGAAAATTAGGGTTTTGGTCCTCTGTCGCGTACGCCCCGCGTATGCAATGCTCCTCCGCGATCCTTCCTCCATAGTACGCTAAGCGTACCCTTAGGTACACCCAACGTATAAAAGGGACCATTTTTGCCAACTAAGTCATTTAAAAAGGGTTATAAAGGTTTACCTGATTTGGAGTGTTACATGTCAATCTAGGTATACAACCTAAGATATACTAGACACAAATCTCACCATCATCACTTACCAATCTAAGTTTAAGTATATAAATCCTCACAATTCCTGATTCGTTTGAACTAATGCTCTGATACTAACTGTGACATCTCCTATTTTCCAGAAACCAAAAAAATCTTTACACTTTTAAGATTCATAACATCTTTATTTATGGAAAATATTAGTACATAAACATTTTGAGTACAAATGATTGTTTCAATATAATAAAACTCTAAGGATGTTATAATCGATACACAACATATGTTAAAGCATAAATACCTAACTGTCCTGAACACTATGGCAGGTCCGCTCTTCAATCACTCAACATTTTATTCAAATCTTTAGCAGTCTTAACATTGTTACCTATGATGCATACAAAATGAGTGGGTCAGGTTGGGAAGCCTAGTAAGATACATAGGGTTTTCAATCCTACAATGTTTTAATGATAATTAATCTTATATCTCAAACCTGCAAAACCAACTGTTATCATTAACATAGATATATCATATTTATAAGAAAATATACCCCATATCGTCGATCCACACATTTTGATCCTATAAAACGACCTTACGAGATCTATCCATATGGATCACTATGAACAATAAATTGATTATATTGCTTCGGGGATTCCCTGGTAGCCAATGAGGATCAAGAAATAGAATGATTAAAAGGAATGTAGTTCTTGAATGAACATACGATCCAGTCTCCTCAAATTAGTCTAATTCATTAGCACCACAAGATAATTATGTTAGGGGTAGTCATCTATACTCCGCTAGATGAATTAGACATGCCTAGCAGTGGTCCGATCCCAAGTATTATTGAACATAGTTCCACCCTCATACGCACCAGCAGTCAAAAAGAAAATAAGGGGAGAATACTAATATAGTACTCTGGTACGCTCTTGTACCCCGACACATAATACCATCGAAAAAGACTTTGTACAAACAGTACTTCTATCACATATTGTACCCCAACACAAGTAGCACCTGAGAAACAGAGTTCTACTCTTCATTCCAAGCTCACGCCCACCCCAATATAAAACTACCCAATATCGAAACTTAACTGAACTAAACATCTCTTTTAAGTCTTAGGTTATAGCTACATAAAATTGTAATACCTATAATCATCCCAAAGTTCATGCATACGTAATATAATTACAATACAATGTAAGTATACATCTCTTCAACTTAACTCAAACTAAGCATCCTTTATAAGTCTTATCTCATCACTAGGCAAGACTATAACGCTTAATATCAAGTCCCAGTACCAACTCTGTTTTGAAAACACTATCCTAATCTAGTGTATACATTTAACACAGAGTATTAAGTATCAATATATATTTACTTTCTCAGAAATAATACTTCTATTATTATTATCATGTAATAATATTATATATATATATATATATATATATATTATACATCTTATTTTCTAGTATGACTTTTATTGATAATTGTTTAAATGTTGTAACTATTTGTGCAAAATAACAAATCACTTTTAGAAACTAAAATTTGAAAAAACTATATGCACCTGTCGCTTGGCACGAGTAAATGGCTAGTGTGTGTGTGTGTCTGTATATATATATATATATATATATATATATATATATATATATATATATATATATATATATGAATTTAACATTTTAATATTTTCATTTTGCTTCAAATTTAATTGGTTTACTACTTTCTTTAATTCAAGTCTTCAAACTTTTGATATGTATTAATGAATTATTTATGCATAATTGATTTGTATAAAAAGCTTTGTAACTTATACCTCTTAAAATTCAAGATATGTCAACTTTTTTAATGATTTTAATAGTCTATAAGGCACGAAAATAAGAATGTACTATTAAAATTCAAGATAAGTCAACCATAAGTATCGTTAAATTGATTTTAATGACAATAATCTTTTATAATATATGTTATGTTATAACATAAGTATCATTACTAATTTAATTGGTTAAAGAAAAGGTAATGTCCATGTACATGACTTGTATTTGAGTGTATCGGAGATGAATAAAGTATATAGAAAATGACTTAAAATGGTAAAAAAAAGTTTCAAAAATGTATAAAAAAAAGGCCATTATTTTTTTAGTAAAAAAATACCTTTAAATTGAATTTCTTTTACAAAAAACACCAACGAAGTACTAATAGATACCCGAGGTAACCGGTTACCTTCTGTAAAATAATGGCTTGGATTATTTAATGTACATTTACACCTTCAACTACAAAATTAGGGTTCTTCATCTTTATCAACAACCCTCCCTCCTGCAACGGCTCCTGATGGCATCTTCATCTTCATCAACATTTATGAAATCAATTTCACACATTTCCAAGAGTAGGAGTACAATTGATTATGCTAACCCTTGTCACTGGGAGAAGCCTTCCATAATTTGGACCTCAACTACGAGGGATAATCCGGGTAAAAAGCTTAGGTGTTGTCGTAACTCAATGGTAAATGAATCTCATATATTTATCATCTACTTCTCCTACATAATTGATTTCTCATGTAAATTTTATTATGTATATAAAGGAATCCAAGAAGAAAAAATGTGATTTCTGGGAATGGGTAGATGAAAATGAAGAACCAATAACACAAGATACCACTGAAGTGAAGATATCAATATTGGAAAATAATTTTTGGACTCAGAAGGTGAATGCATATCAGGAATCAATGAGTTTTAGAAAGGAATTGGATAAGTTAAGTAGGAAATATTGGAATCTCAAATGTTGTATGTTGTTGTTTTTTGTTATGTTTGTACTGTATGTTATTCTAAAATAAAGTGTAAGATTAGGTAATGTACTTTGAAAGTTGTAATGAAATGACTTTGGTAATGTAATTAGAAAGTTGGGTTAATTTAATTACTTATATTCAAATGGAATTATGTTTTATGGAATGGAAAAATAGTTTTGATAGTGGAATGGAATCAATGATTCCTGGATAAAATTAAGTGTTTACATTGGAATGGAATCAATGATTACCGAATAAAATTGAGTGTTCACATTGGGATGAAATCAGTGATTCCTAGATAAAATTGAGTGTTCACATTGGAATGGAATCAATGATTCTTGCATCAAATTGAGTGTTCACGTTGGAATGGAATTAATGATGCCTGAAATAATTGAGTTTTCATCTAAATGGTACACAATAAATGATTCCAACAACAATATATATCCACAGTAGGACCTTTAACCAATATAATTGAGTTTTCATCTAATGTAGACCACATACATTATATGTCATTACAATATTTAATAGGACACCTAACCAAACACATGTGTCTTCATCAGTTTTGGGAATAAATACAAAACAAAAGTTATCAAAAGATGTGCCCAACAAAAGATTCTCTAACAAAAGATGCCCCTAACAAAAGTTGTCCCTAACACTTTCTCCTAGATTGTGAGAGGATTTTGAAGACTTTCCCCTTCATCAGTCTTGGTCACCACCTTAACCTAAGTTTTGTGTTCCTCTGAGAAGGACCACACTTTGTCCTTTTCAAATTAGGAGCAACCACATGTCGATTCCCAGTGTTCACCAAATCAGCTACACCTCCAACATCACCCACTTGTTCATCACCCACTTCTAATTCAGCCACACCTATATATCCCTCACCACCATCCTCAGCAGCCCCATGTTCCTCACCAACTTCTACATTACCTCCAACCTCCTCATCAGCCCAATATCCCTCACCAACTTCTCTATCACCTCCAACCTCCTCAATAGTCCCATGTCTCTCACCTACTTCTGCATTAAATAACATGTGGTAATCAAATAGATCTGCATCATCAACTGCATTAACCTGATTGAGTGGAAATTTCCTTTTGTTATGACCTTCTTGGGAACATAGACTGCATTTTGAAGTGGTCCCTCTTTTGCTAACAGTGTGTCTTTCACTTCTTTCTGAATTGCATTTCTTCCTGTTTATCTTTGGTCTACCATGCATTCTTCTGCATTTTTGTGGTAAGTTGGTATTACAATCATTCACTGGCCACATTTCAGATCCATTTATTGGCTTCACATTGTATTTGTAGCAGCTCCCAAACATATGCGATGTATACCAAATTGCTACATACTCCTCTATATTTCCATTCAAACACAAGATTGCAGAAATAGCATGGACACATGGTATACCTGTCAACTACCATGATCTGCATCCACATGTCCTTTTATGTAAGTCAATTGCATACACCTCATTCAACCACCTACTCTCATATTGATGAAAACCACTTGGAGTTACTCCCCAATACCTGTTATGAAATGCTACATACAAGTTAGTAATGATATATATAGATATATGTATTTTAATTAAATATAGTTATATACATCTGTACTTTCTTCATGTCCTCAATATTCCTTCTAATTTAGGGTCAAATCTCCAAGTTCCACTTCATTCCCTTCCTTTTTTGAGTAAACATTCTTTCCATGACATACACTCTAATATCTTCCAACATTGTTATTATGGGTTTTTTTCTAGCTTCCACAACTACTGAATTAAAGGATTCTGATATACCATTTTCAATTGCATCACTACCAGTATCTTCCTTAAAAAATGCCCTAGACCATGTGTTTGGTTTTTTTTCCATCAGGTGTTCATAAGCATGTAGGTCAATTAACCTGATTTCCTTCATTATAACTTCAAATTTTTTTGTGGTTGTGGCCTTGGCAGCCCCCCATAATAGTTTCATGTACTCAGCTCCTGTGAATTTTCTCTTAAAGTTGGCATAAACATGCCTAGCATATTGTCTATGCTCACAATCAGGAACTTTTTCCTTAACTGCCTCAATAAGCCCCTGTTAATTAACATTTCAATGTCATTATCAATTATATATATATATATATATATATATATATATATATATATATAAATTATTATTAAAAAATATCTGAAAAGCAGTTAACTACCTTGTGTTGGTCAAAGATGATGATTAGTCCTTTACCTTGTCCCATTCCAATGTCTTCAAGTAATAGATCCAAAAACCATTTCCAAGTTGCCTTAGTTTCAACTGGAACAACAACCCATGCTAGAGGACACATTTGGTTATTAGCATCCCTACCAACAGCTGATAGTACCTCACCTTTACAAAGACCCTTTAAAAAACATCCATCTACACCAATCACCCTTCTACACCCCTCAATCTGACCATCCTTTACAACCTTCAAGCAAACATAAATCTTTGAAAAATAGACTGTAGAATCAGGCATGATATCCACATCTAATTTTACTATGGAACCTAGATTAGCCCCCAATAGCTCCAAACCATAACTCCTAAGCTTTTCATAATGTGCCACCAAACTCCCTTCTATGTCATCCATTGCAAATTTTGTTTACATTTCTACATTGACCAACACTAACTTGTAGATTAAAATCTCTAAGGATTGCTGCTTTCATTTTCCTGTAACGTATTCTTGGATTATCTGTTATGGTTTCCATTAACTATTTTCCAATCCAACTATATGTGACCATTGCACCTAAATTGAAGGCCCTACAACAGTTGTGTTCAGAGATTAAGGACTTAATCTGAAATGAACTTTCTTCACTCATCCAAGTTGCCTACAATCTAAAAGGGAATTTAGACTTTTCTTCACCTTTGCAACATCTGACTAATAATCTACTTGAATCATTCTTTCATACCACAGTTTATTTGCATTAGCAACAACATAAATGCTTAACATGTGCTTAAGTTCAAAATGATCACAAAATTTCATACCTAAGATTGGTGTCATTGTATCCTATTTCTGGTTAGGATCATGAACAAGATACTTAGGAAGATCTAACTTCACATCCTTCTTATCATCTACAACTCTTGGTGGCCTGAAAATTTTTCGTCTAGTGAAAAGATCATCAGATGGTTGTATTTGTATCTCTTCATCATCAGGTTCATGCTCCACAAACTCATTATCTGAAAGTTCAGAGTCTACATTATCGTCATCATCCGTATGGACATCTGACAATCCATCTTCAACTATCTCTTCTTCAGTCCACTCCATAACTGCCTCCTGAGAGTGATTAATGTACAAATTAATCCTTCCCCCATTCTCATATCCAGCATCAAGAAAACGTACGTAATCATTTTCATCTTCAAAGGCTCTCAACCCATCTCTCAGTGAACGTTGTGGAAGACAATAGTAGACAGTGATTCTTCCATCCTTTACCAGCTTTTTTACATATGAGATCAACTCCGTGAAACTCATGCTTCTGAAAATCAACATTGCTAACAACCACTTTTACAGGATTGAAATAGACAATGGGTTTGGGGACAAAAGAACCTATATGATTAACTTCGATTGTCAAGTACTCCACTTGCGAGGTTGAATCCATTGTTTGTGGTGATTTATGTAAAATGGAGGAATAGAGGAGAATGAGCAATCCCTAATTGTTGCAATTGGGGGGAAATAATGAAGGGGCAAACTCTAATCATCCCGTTTATCATTTACTGTTTAAAATAATAATAATCGTAAATCGGCTAACCTACAATACCCCGGTAAAATGGATTTTTTACACAAAAAAAAATGGTCTTTTTTGTATATTTTTGAAACTTTGTTACCCTTTTTAAGTCATTTTCCCTAAAGTGTAATACTTTATTCACTATTAAATATAACAACTTTGACATATTTTGACATATTTATTTATATATTAGTTGATTTATTTATAGGGGTTTTCTATAAGTACCCCCTTCCTTTTCCAATTCCACCCCCTTTGATTTGATTTTTTGTCTTTTGTTGTTTTTTTTTTGTTTTTTTTCCTATTTTGTTTTTTTGTTGTTTTTAATTCTTTTTTAATTATTATTATTATTATTATTATTATTATTATTATATTTTGATTATTATTATTATTATTATTATTATTATAAATTTCGCACAAAATTTTAACATTCGGAAGACATTATAAATTCAAACGGCTATATAAAATCGGTTTTTAAATATTTTTTTTATATTTTTTAATTACAGACAAAAAAGTCGTTTGAATTTTATAATGTCGTGCGAATTTATAATGTTTACCGAATTTTAAAATGTCATCCGAATTTAATAGTAATAATATTAAAATATAAAATAAAAGGAAAAAAAATCAAAAAAAAAATGAAAAAAAAAAAAATAATAATGTCAAATCAAAAGTAAAAAGTTGATTTGATTGATGTTAGGGGAGGTAAAATTGGTTAAGAGGTACTTACATCACAACCCTTATTTATATCTAATCGACTAAAACTTTATAAGTTAACAAGTTGGCAATATATATCTCAAATAAATCAACAATTACCCAAAGCATATATAATCGTTACAATCTCCTAACCACTTAAAAGGGAAAGATTTTTAACGTTCTAGTATGGGGTAAATACCATTAGTATGTAGTAAATAATTTATTCTTGTAAACCAATACCAACGTGTTATAGAAAAATACTATTAAGCAAAATGTAATTGTCAATTCAAATTACAATTATTTTTTCTCAAATGATAATCAAATGATCATCTAAAACCACTTCCTCCATGGCTATGATGTAATAGATTATGTGCAATACTATCTCTAACTTGCACTGCATTTACCATCTTACCCCTAGCATTTTCCCCCGCAACTATCTCATCATCAAACAATTCAAACCCCAAATCCGCATCCATTGTCTCATTATTCATTTCACAAATATTGTGTAAAACACAGCATGCCCCCAAAACAACCGGCAAATCTTGAAGCTTTACTTCTGTCCTTTTTTGTAAACACGTCCATCTCCCTTTTAGCCTCATAAATGCATCTTTAGCCACTTTTTGTACCTCGCCAATTTTTTCATTGAATGAGTGTTGACTCCATGTTTGGTTTTGGCTTGTATACGGGACCAAAAGCCAGTCGAGTAGTGGGTAGCTTGTACTACCCACTACCTGTATATCTTTCAAGTGGCCCATGTTGAATCTTTGGGAAAGTGCTGACTTTTCTAGGATTTTGTCGTCACGCATCGAGCCAGGGTACCCGATGCAGATATCAGTGAAAACGCCATGTGGGTCGACCACACCTTGGACTGTGGTCGAGTACGATGGTTTTTGGTTTCGTTCGGTGTGTTTTTTGTTGAAGTAGGCGGCTGGGCTAACTTTTGGCGCGATTATTGAAATGTGGGTGGTGTAGATTGATCCGGATATGTTGGGTATGCCCGAGATTGACTCAAATTCAGCTTTGATCTGTTCGAGGCGGGCCTCATTGGGCCATTGAAGATATTTAGGCATTAGGACAGTGCGGATGGCCGCACAGACTTCTAGGACGAGCTTGTGGCATGTTGAAATGCCTAGTCCAAATAAGTCTGACACAGTTCGCAGTGGGTCGCCAGTTGCCAAACGGTACAAGCAGACAGCGACCCGCTGGCGAACTGGTATTGCCATACGAAGCATGGTGTCCTTTTTGGTGACAGCCGAGTCTAGTTCGTCACAAATCATATTAAATGTTGCTTTACTCATTCGGAATGCTTTTTTGAACTCCATATCTGGGCATTCATCGCTGTTGTAAAACTCCCACCACCCTTTCGACCTCTCCTTCACCCACAACCTCCGCTGCGGTCCTCCGACGCCGCCACCATGGAACTGACCGGAAACCATTTCCTCCGTCACCGTCGACGACGATGCTCCGCCGTCGAATTTCGGCGGCGGTGTTTTCCTGACTCTCTCCGTGGTTTCTGAAGCGAAATTCGAACTGGGTTTTTGAAAATCGAGGTCGAAAGTCGAATTGGGGATGTCCAGATCGTCGAGAAACGAGATGGTGTTGAGAATTTCCTTTAACGAGTTATTTTCGCCGGCGGGGTCATCAATTTTCCGGCGTTTGTTGATCGAAATATCACCTATGTTGCTATTGTTGTCGAGCTCTTGAAAGAAGCTGTAGAAATACGAGTATTCTTCTTGGTTTAAGAAAGGAATTGAACTGATTTCCATTTTTTAATATAAGATCTGTAGTGGGTGTGAAAAGGTGGATTAGAATTGGGGGAATGTGAACAAGGAAACAGAGATCTTGAACTTTAATGGAGAAATTGGAGATGTGAAGAGGTTGAAGATGGATTTGATATATAAATGAATATATATACATATACCTGAAGAGAGAGTAAACAAACGTGTGAGGATTAGAGAAGAATACGACCAATATGAACGCGTGGGGGGGAGTGAGGGAGCTGGGAGGAAGATTCAGTGACGAGGACTTTCTTTTGGCAGGTAAAGCAGTAGAAGGGAGTAGTGAGAAAGTACTATTTGGACCTCAGAGAATTTTGAATTACATTTCAGTCCTTTATTTGCATAAAGCCATAAACCATTGACAAAAATAAATAAATAAATTAAAATGCTTCTTTAGATAATAATATATACTATTTTTAATTGTTGTAGCCTTCTTTAGATAATAATCAGTAAAAAATATTTTTTTTTATTGTTGTAGCCTTCTTTAGATAATAATCATAATATTCAGTATCAAATATTATTAAATGTTGTAGCAAAACACAGAAATAAGGATTGCAAAAAATCTCATATCATGGTACTCTTAATCATATTTAACTAAAGAATCATCAAGTTGATTTGAGATAGGGACAAACATGTTTGTCCCTGACCCCAACCCCAAGATAGGGACAAGTTGACTTCAGCCATAACTATGAACTCTAAGAGGTCAACAATCGTTTTAACCAAGTAAACACAACTTACTTGTTTCTAGCTATGACCTTTATTTCTAAGTAAGTCTTTTCAAGTATTTGAAATGGAGAAGATTAACGAGTTTATAAAACATGATCTTAGAGCACGTACAGCAAAAACTTTTAAAATATATTATTTATGTATGTGAAGATTCACGATTTGATAACTTGGAAAATTTAAATTCTTGGAAAATATGATGGTTGAAACAGACAGACATATAATATATCCAATTGTATATATTGTAATATTAACATTGGCTTTGCTCGTTGCAACATTCTTAGTGGTCCGCATTCAATTTCAACGATGAAGTTTATAAAAACAGTTTACACAATAAGAATAAGCGATCAATTTATTGACGGTTGTTTATTGTCATCTATTGAGAATATATGATTTTAGATAGTATTAAAGAAGAGCTTGTAGCTTACTCATATCAAGAGTGTTGGAAATATGGCTCTCAATTAATAGGTTAATATGTTTAGGGTTCAAGTTCTATTTGAAACGAAGATGTAGTTTTAGGAGCGGTATTTAAGGTATGTGTGAATGAGTAGTTAAAAAAAGACATTAACTAAATTACATTTTATCTGTGGCATTAAAACTATATTTACCGCAGATGGTATTATTGAAAAACGGACCAAATAATCAATTTTTTTTTAACATATTTATTTGTAACTTTAACAAAATTAGACATGCATACATTTGAGGAATCGTTATCGTTATCGGTCTTAAAAGAAATCCTCACTTACTAAAGATTTCTTGGCTCAATCAATATAATTGACGCCAAAATAGAATAAGATTACGTTGGAACTTTGTTTAAGTATGTTTTTGTTTGTTTCAGTTTTATTAAAATTTCTTTTTCATTTGTTTTTTGTTTGGCTCAATCAATACAATCAAGTATGTTTTTTGTTTTGTAATTCCCTTGTAATATATACATTTCTTTTTCATTTGTTTCAGTTTTATTAAAATTGTTATTTTTGTCATAACAGATTTATGATACATGTACTGAGGTACAGTTTGAATTGTCTACCTTCAGTTATTAGTTTATTTTTATTTTAGATTTCAATATGAAATCATAATCTTTTTTTTTATTTTTTTATTTTTTTTATTTTTTTTTGTGAAATCAATCTATAAGTTTTTCCATCTTTGTAGTATTTTGTCTCGCCTACTTAATGTTATACGTGTCCATGGAAAACAAAAATAGTTTCCTAATCTATAAAAAAAAACAAGTATAAAAAATCCGTCGGTATTTCGTAAAAAAATCCAAAACTAAATTCAAAATAAACTCATATATTATCATATATCATAGTTGAATGATATTACAAATGTTTGGGCAATTAACTCTATTTTTTGAGCCACTTCTCTTATTTCAGTAGAAAATAAGTAAGCTCAAAAAATATATCGAGTTGCACTACTTATCATTGTGTTTTTAAGTATTTGCAGGGCTATGGGACAAGGAAACTTTCACGGGAGTACAATGAAGTTGGTATGTTGGTGTGGTGGAAGATAAATGGGTTGAAGTACCTTAAAGTTTTTGTTTTTATTTAAAATAAAAGCTTTAATCTCGTATTCATGAATAATTTTTTTTATTCGAGTTTTTTTTTAAATAAAACTCTTAGAAATTCTTAATAGCTTGTTGTCAAACATGGACATATATGTGGAATCAACAAACATGTACCACATATACTATTTATTCTTAAAAGCTTGTTGTAAAATATGGGCATATATGTGGAATCAACAAACATGTACCTTTTAAACATGGACATTATATATATATATATATATATATATATATATATATATATATATATATATATATATATATATTAAATCACAAGGGCCTTAGCAATAGTAATTTTTTGTCTTTAGTTTTTATCACAAATCTTTGATGCATTTAACACTTTTCGCCCTTAAATTCAAAACTTTTACATTTTTGCGTTTTGACTAAATTTTTCTGCCTTGTGGTTTTTGCCACAAATCTTTAGTGAGCTTGACACTTTTAGTCCTTCCAGTCAAAAGTTTTACATTTTTGATGTTTTTGCCACAAATGTTTAACGAATGTCACTTTTCGTCCTTGTACTAAAATTTTTTCCTTTTGATATAAAAAGAGAAAAAAAACCTCTTTTTGAATTTTGTCACCATATTTTCCCAATTTTGGCAACTTTAACATTATTGCCACAACATTTTTAAATTTTCTTCAACAGTGTCCATTCTTTTGGTTGTACACTTTTGACATCCAATTTTACGACCTGTCGACTTTCTCCCCTATTTGTGGTGATTAACAATTTCAGCACATATCTTTTAAAGTTTGCCGATTTTTCCCATATTACCCCAAAAGCGGCGTAGCTGCGGGCTCTTTACTAGTATACTATTTATTTGTAAAATGCTAGGAGGGGATTGAAATGGTGTCATACGGTATACAGCCGGGGTTAAAATATAACTACGTGATAGATAGAGGGTTGAAAGCGATATTTAGAACTTCCGGTTTAATTAAGCGTTATAGCGTATACGCGGTTGGGATCGCGGTTGACCGTCTCAGGAAGTTTCATTAAATGCAATAGAGTAATAGACAACTACCACAGTACAAAAGCAACAGCAATCATAATGATTCCTCCTTTATAATAATAAATATAATACTTTTTCTTTCTTTTTAATATCCTCTTTGCCATTTACCACGTGTTTTTTATTAAGTTTCATCTATGTGCTTTCGTGGTCTTTTTTTTTTTTTTTTTTTTTTTACGTTATATAATTTCGAATTTTGGATAATGACAAAAATACCACATGGCTATTGACAGTACAGTAAAAACATCCATAATATTGAGTTATTTTTCGTCAAAAAATTTAAAATGATTTTTCTTTTTATATACTTTTCATAATAAAAAACTTTGTCTATTTTATTACTGTTTTGGTTTTATAATCGTTTATTTCTTATTGTTTGAAAGGCCAGACACCTATCTTAGTGAAACAACTCAAGAGAAAACTTTGCTAAAAACATCCGCAATATAAAAAAAGCTATGGAAATAAGAGCTTTTTACTAAAAAAAAAATTCATGAGAGCTCGTTAATTAACAAAAAAAAAAATCATTTATTCTAATAAAACAGTACATTTATAGCAAATGACATTTTCTCAGCCCTTCCTAATGCTTTTTCCCGTCCAAATTTACAAAATGAAATTATGATTTTACCCCTATGCTCCTTTACACTCTAATGGCATAAAATCCCGTCCAAATAATCACGGATTTTTGATGATGCAATTTCAAATCCTGAGTAACTGATATCCCAAATAATCATGGATTTTGTTTCCTTTCTAAATTCCATTTGAGAACGATGTAAAAGACAAGAAATACGTAATCTTCTCCAAATTTGAAATTCATTGACTAGGGCTTCAAGCTGCATATATCTAATGCATACTCGCTATGTATTTCATATACATCTCCATCGAAACCATCTCCCTCACCTTCGTCTCTCTCATCCCAATATACTCCTCCGGTTATCACATCTTTGTAAGTGTTCCTGTCACTAACACTCTATTTTGCCCTAACCACTTCATACATAAACTCTAGCAAGCAGCAACAATAGTAATCCTCTTCTTGATTACAAAAATGAGAGCTCCAACAATCATTTTATTTTCTTTATTGGTGTCAACAATCGTTCCTATCACGTCGAACCAGCGGCCGGTCAAATTCGTTTAAGGAACTGACAACCTTATCAAAACCGTCGGAAATTAACATTGCTGTTGTTCCCGGAGACGACAACGTCGTTGGTGAACAGAACGTCGGCGAAAATAATGGAAGATTTTCGTGGTCTAATATGTTGCCAGAGCTCTTAGGCAAGATAATCAAACGAGTGGAAACGAGCGATGACCGGTGGCCGCTCCGTCGAAATCTGGTTGCTTGTGGATGTGTTTGTAAAAGTTGGAGAGAAGTTACGAGAGAGATCGTAAAGCCTCCTCTTCACAGCGGGAAGATCACATTCCTTTCTTGTCTTAAGCAGGTACGATTTGGCTGTATATTATCTGATTTTATTTGTTTCAAGCTATATTCCTTGATTTTTATGTCGTTGATTCCAGATACTTGAATCAATGAATTAAATGTAGTTAGTTTGTTTGTTTTTTTCAATTTTTTTGTTAAATTGCTTTAGATTCTTATGTTTAGCCAGATGAGTATCTGGTTTGTTATGGAGAAGCTTTTGATTAGCTCACACAACTGAAAGCAAGTAGCATAAGTCAAAACTCCATAAAGTCAATTCTATTGTGATAACGATTAGGAACAGTTTGATAAATGCTCGCCTTTGGTCACGGTTGCCAATTTTTACTAGGTCTTATTTTGAAGTATTTTCCGGTAACCACGTTGTTCATTATAATATTGTTTACTTCATCGTCGAATCAACATGGTAAATTAGGGAATATATGCCTAATGATGCTTCGTATATAATTTCTGCAAATTGTTACCTTCTAAGTTTCCATTGTTCACTTATTACGCTATAATAGATCCTTGAAATTTATCAATGTTGTTAATGGATGAACATGCTTGATTTATCTAACAAATTTCCATGTCTTTGCAACCTGGTTCACGTGATTCTCCAATTCAATGCCTGATTAAAAGAAACAAGAAGAACTCGGTGTTTTAACTCTATCTTGCTACTACTCCATGTAAGCATCATCAATAACTTTAATCTCTTTGTGAATCATGTATTATACAACCAGACATGCCAGAAAATGATATTTCTGGTAACTTGTAATTGAAGTATTAACCATTTGGATTCCATTTTTGTAGCATTTACAAACAAGGGTAAGTTTCTTTTAGCTACAAGAAGATATAGACAAGGTGCTCACATGGAATACATAATATCACTTGATCCAGACGATTCATCTCATGGAAACAATGCTTATGTTGGTAAATTAAGGTAAGTGACTATTTCTTTTTTGTACTTAATGAGCTTAATGGGTTAAGCACTTAATCTATACACCTATTCATTGATGCTTCTTTATGACTTAATATGGACATAATGACTATTTTACCCTTCACAGGTCAGATTTTCTTGGCACAAAGTTCACAATATATGACAGCCAACCACCATATAATGGTGCAAAACACTTAAGTAGCAAATCTATGAGGCGAATTGCAAGCAAACAAATAAGCCCACAAGTTTCATCAAGCAACTTTGAAATTGGAGAAACTTCATACAAATTCAATCTTTTGAAATCAAGGGGTCCAAGAAGAATGGTGTGTTCTCTAACATCCACATCCACATCACCAGATCAACTCTGGTTAAACTCAAACCCTTTTGAGAAACAAAGCTCCAAGGTGGCATGAACATTTGTAGTGTTGGTGCTTGAATTTCCATGGGCGGGTGACAGTTGCATCGGTTAAGAATTTCCAGTTGGTGGCAACATTGGACACGAGTCAACCGGGTGGGAAAGGTGATGGTGAAATGGTTTTGCTTCGGCTTGGAAAAGTTGGTGATGATATGTTCACCATGGATTATGTATGGATTATAACTATAAATAAATAGTTCAAAGTTTTTAAAGTATAATGTTTTAATAAAAAAATTTATAGAATAAAATAATTGTTTGCATATAGTTTTTTTTCATATATTTGAGTAGTCATTACGATTTCGAATTACAAAGTGTTTTTTTTGTTTTTTTTTTTCTTTTTTCTTTCTAATCCGTGGTTTCCACGGGTTTTAAACCTAGTATATATATATAAATCATTTTCAGTTAAAATGATGGGACACATATATATTCAACTAGTTATAAGTTACCAACTTATATAAAAACCAATTGAATCTACCATAATAAATGAAAATGTTATTGACACTTGTCATTCTTTTATTCAATTGGCCACATGTCATTTTGTCATAATTTTGAGATATATTTATTTTTCATTTGTCATTTACTTCATTATTCATTTCCGATATATCATTAATTTAGTTTCCATAAATTAAACCTACCGTAATGACTATTAATTTCAAATTTGAAATTTAAAATTTCAATTTCAATTTCAAATAAATTTACACTTTAAACCTTTGTATTTAACATTTTGTTATAATAACTCGTTTAGTACATGGGTCGGACAATTAAACACATGATTTTAATTAATTTATTTTTTGCATGTTTTTTTTCCAATAATTTTCACTTATTTCATATTTCAAATTCAAATAAACTTCTCATTTAATCGCTCCTATTTAACATTATGTTTTAATCAACTCGTATAATATACGAGTCTCACAACTAGTAATATAATGTAAACTAATAGGTGAATCCGAGGTGAACCCCAAGACAATTTTTTTTCTTATAGGACAATGTACTTTGAAAAAACTCAATGATAACATTCTACTTTTGATATTTTTCTTATTAGGAGATTATACTTACAATTTTTTTCCAAAATATAATTATTGTGTTTGGATGAAACTGTTAAAGTTTGACATTGCATATGATAAATCATTCCATAGACACATGAAAATTGGCCACTTGGAGAAACGAAAAAGAAAATAGCAATATACCACCCAGGAAGGTTAGCCTGCAATCTTCACCTTCTGTTTACCAGACAACTTTGCATTCACATATTTATTCGAAAAAAACCACTTTTTTCCCTCTTTCTTTGCCTCTGCCCTGCCTAAAAACCCATCACATTTTATCTATTATATTACATTATCAGATATTCAAGAAATTAAAAAATACACTTCATTAGTCTATCACACTTTATCCAATATTTGTTCTTCTGTCAAAAGTATTTGAACGTTAGCCTACAACAAAAAAGATAGAAAATTCAAGGCGGTACTTTGATTGCATTGAAGACGAGAATAAAACTCGATAAAGAAACAGTAACTTACAATGTTAAGCCACGAATAAAGTTCACGTATTTGAGAAAGAAACTGTACTAAACGTTTAGATGTTCTTTTCAAAACAGAGATAGTCAGAAAATAACGACAATAGAAAAAACTTGTTGCCACCCATACGAATGAAAAGAGTCAAATTTAAAAACTTTGCAAACTTACTAAATACCTTTCTTCTTGAAACTTGAATGATATAAGTTTTGTTCAAATTTAATTCATCAGTTTCTTATAAAATTTAAAAGATAAGCAGTTTTGACTTTCACGCTATAATTCCTACAAAAGGGATGATAATCTCAATTATATAAAAAAAATAGATTTTTGATCCAGATCCCGCCGGCAAGAAGAAAAAAATCATTCAAAAAATGAAAGGATTTTCAATTTTTTGATGAATACAAAGTGGGATTAGACAGAATTGTTATAACATATGATGACATATCCAATTCCTTATCCCTATAACAACTCTTAACTAAATAAGGTGAAGTTAGAGTCTGGGAAAAGTTATTGGAATTTTGAATTAAATGAGATTGAATTTCAATTCCACGCCTAGAATTTTGTGGTCATGAAACTAAACTAAAACAGTTCACCATTGAAATGATTATGTCATACTCACATTTTTCCTAAAGATGAAAAATATTTTGTAATTTCTTAGTGAAGTTTGCACATTTGTTGGGTTCCAAAAGCCACTTGTCAACGGTGGAATTGGCGGGACCCGTAGTGTTGGTCCAAGCAGTTGTAAAAAAAAGTAAGAAATAATCATAAGTACAAACTAAATTAAGAAACCCCTCCCAAAAAAAGATAACTTTAAATTTTGATATCTAAGAGTTTTGTAGAACATGAAGCTAGCCTGAAGGTGTTTTTAGGAGCACTTACACAAAGCTTGCCTGCAACTACAAACCTCCATAATGCATCAGCACCTTCAAGCAAAGCATAATCTATCCCCACACGTGGGCCCACTACCATCTCCTCCAGTTTCACTTCCGGCCTATCCAATAATTCCAGATCACCTAAAACACCAACCAACTTTTTTCACATTCCACTCACAAAAAAAAAATTGTGATCGAATGTTCTAAAAATAGAATTCTAACCAATGCTTGGTCTAAATGGCCTAAAAAATCGAATTTTGACCCTGCATTTGGTTACAAATGAATGCGTAATTGAATTCCATGGGATTTCAAGATGGAATTCATTCCTTAGTATTTGTACCTTGGTAAAATTACTCAAATATCCTTTTAATTATGATTCAGACCGAAGAGGTGGAGGGTCTTTGAACTCTCTCCGAAATGGATATATTTGTTTTTCAATTTGTTAAGGTTCTACATTTCATCGAGTGGTCAATTGCCTGACACATAAAAAACACATCTGAAAACAAATTATAAGGCTTTGACTAAGAAACAAAATCCTAAAAGAAGATCAAATTGTGAAGAAGGAATGTTGACACTCGCCAATTTAATAGTTGGTTGGTGAGTCTTTTTAGTAGTTTTAGTCTTAACAATAGTCAATTCTTTCATGCTTTGTTGGGTTGATTGACATTCCGATTAACGGAATTGTTGGGTTGATTCCCGTTAGCAAGAAGAACGGTGGGCGAGGATGAGTTATCGGAATGGGTGGCAGCAAGGTGACGTTTCTGATCTTGAATCATTTGATGCTCTTCCATAACCAAGACTGATCTTGCTTCCATGAATGTAGGAGGAGGTTTCGAGTATAGAATAGTACGTGCAATGTCTTGGAATTTTTGGGTCAAACCACTAAGGGTATATGAGACAAGATTGTGTTCAAGTACCGGAGCCCCCAAATTTTCAAGCATATTGGCGATAGTTTTCACACGAGTACAATAGTCATTAATCGATGATTCACCCATGCAGATATTACGAAGTTCAGTCTCTAATTGGAATGCCTTATTTTCTTTATTAGTGCGAAAAAGATCTTCTAGACTTTGCCATAAACCGTGAGCAGTGGATTTCTTTTTCAGAACCATGTGAAGAAGAGATTGAGATAAAGTGATATATATCCAAGATTTAACAATATTATCAACCCTATTCCATTCTTTAGAATCGATAGCCACAGGTTTCTCTTTAGGATTTGATGAGAGAAGAGGTTTTGTCACAGGGGGCTTCAAGATGATCATCAACACCGAAACCAATACAGTGGGTTTCGAAAAGTTCCCTCCAAAGATCATAATTCATATGATCTAAATCCAAAACAAGAGGCACTGCATTCTTGATGTTAGTTGTAGATGAAGGTTTGGAAGAATCACCAGACATACTAAGATGAAGAAGAAGAGACAGAAGGCGCGTTGTCGATCAAGAGAAAAACGGGAAGGAGAAGAACAGACGATGGGTTTGGATCGGCTAGGGTTAGGCTAATACCATGTTTGACAAGTAATTTCCCATGAAATCCATCGAGCCTTTGATTAATAAATATATATATACAAATTACATGAGATGGGCCAAGGGCCTTGAATAACTAATAATAGAACTATGCTAAAATACAATACAATACAGGACCAGGTCCGTTAACAATGCTTTCATAGATGGTGACAGAGTTTCACATCCCAGGATCTCAGATTCCCTACCATCTCCTCCAGTTTCACTTCCATCATTTGATCAGAACACACCACCGAACAAAAAAAATAGAAAACAAAGTTTTAATGATTATAGAATATTTAGATCCTTATGATGATACTAAGTAACGTTTTACCTGAATATATTAATTTGTTGCTCCAAAAATGACTGGCAAGTGATTCCCGGATGTTATGCCATTGATAAGCTGAAAGTAGCAAATTTGGTTATGATCACAAGGACGTTCAAATGGAAAATATGGAACCAAAAACAACAAAACAATCATAAAACATTAATGAAGACACTAAATTGACAGTCCTAGTTTTTAATATAGGAGGACTCACGGAAATAGCGAAATCCCTAAAATCCTTTGCAATGAACTCGACGATATGGATGATTGTACCCAAGAGATGATGTGGCACTCCTACACAGACAGAAAATCATAGATGATTAGCGATAATACATTAAGAATGAAGACATTGAATGGTGAAATCACATAGATGTTTAATCAAGAAATTAATCGAATAACACATTATTTGAGAGGAACCGAGTATCAATCCACGCCTTGCAAGGACGAAAGAAGCGCCTTCCCCTGTATCAAAACGCAAGCACGAGACTAAAATGAAGAACACTATAAATTTTAGGTTGAAGAAAGAAAGGGACTGACAGAGTAAAACGGACCTGTGAGACGGTTGGTGTGGATTTGTTTAATGCTATCTATGTCATTAATGGGATTGTGATAGCGATTGATCAGGTCACACTCAAGTAGGCGATTGTTTGGCCTAGATGGCTTCCCTGTACAACCATTGTCACCGAAGATAACGAACATGAGGTGAAATTAGGGGAGTTTCGACATGGGTCGGTGGTGGTTTTGAGCAAGAGCAATAGGAAATTGGAAGTCGGCGAAGGGTTTTCAGTTTACGCAGTAGAGGTGGGTGGGAAAATGGCGAGTATCCGTGGAAACCTAATCGACAAATACTTCATCATCTCTGATTGCATTATTTGCAATTCGGTGACAAGCAATATTCCATGTCTGTTCCAATGAATAACAAAATCTCCAACTATGAAAACCAATTTAAGAGATAATAGGAAGACGATGAAGTGTGGGCAAAGGAAGAGGGACTGGTGATTTTTTTGGGGGCTATTGAGATTGTTTTGCTTTTCGATTTGTTAGTGAAACACATCGATAAGAGGAATGAAGATGGTGAAAAACCTGTGTGCATTTCATTGGAGGCAGTGGCGGTGAAGAAAAACGGGGATCAAATTTCTAATACCCACAAAATAGTGTGGCCAAACGTTCAAGTTCATGAAATATACGGTTACCAACTGCGATGGAAATTAATATTAATATATGTATATAAAACCCTAATTTTTAGGGTTTGCACTCTATTTAAAGGACCTTAAGTCATTTCCTCCAACCCCTTACCACCTTTTGACGGCCAGAAAAAACCCTAATCAGTCTAAACCTTATTCTTGAGAGTGTGAGAGGCTAAATTGTGTTTTTGGGTGCATTTGTTGAAGAAGCTTGGAGTTTTGGAAGCTTGGAACGAGAAGAAGCAGGTAGATCCATTATCTACTTCTGCATTTGTAGGTAAAAAGCCTTTACCTTGGCCTTCCATTTGTTAGATCTCTTCTTATATGAGAAAATGGGCATTTTGGTGCAAAAATGGAGTCACTTTCGGATTTGAGCTTATCACAAGGGCATAGTTCCAGATCTGGACTCAACTAGGCCCTTATGGACATAAAGCCTCAAGCTTTATGAAGCTTTGGCCCTCCTTCATGTCCAAAACCTCTTTCTAATGCTAGTTATAAGTGTTTTAGATTCATGTAGCCTTGCATGCACGTGAAGTTAGCAACTTTATGTGATAACAACACCCTAGGAGCTTAGATCTACAGTTTGGAGTTTTGGTTTCACGTGAAAGCATCTAAATGAGAAATGGACTGAAGGAACTCGACGATTTGCATGGTCAACTCGACGAGTCAGATGCAGATTGGCCGTTTTTGGTTTCTGCATGGACTCGGCGAGTCAGTAAGATGACTCGACGAGTTAGTTAGGGTTTTTCCCGACATTTGGATACCGCATGGACTCGACGAGTTGTCTGGAAACTCGGCGAGTCGACTTGGGTTTTCACGACTTCTTGAGTTCTGAAGGAACTCGACGAGTCAGTGAGTTACACTCGACGAGTTGGGTCAACATGGACTGTTGACCTTGGCCGTTGACTTTGACTTTGACCAAGGGTTGACTAGTTTGATTTCTGGGGGTATCTTAGTAAATTGGAAATTTATGGAAGTGGAATATTGGTGGATGTAGGTGTTTGAGTTTGGAGCTGTATTTGCGGAGCTTGACATCATCATCTCGAGCTACTTGTGAGGTGAGTTCTTCTCACTATATCAACAGGGTCTAAGGCACCAAGGCCGACCCTTTATGATTTATCTCATGGTTATAGGATTATGCTATGTTAGTGATCTGTTAGATCGATGTCCTGGTTATAGGTATATGTTATGTTAGTGATCTGTTAGATCGGTATCCTAGTTATAGAATGATGTTATGAATAGTGATATGTTAGATCTATATAACTATCTGTACATGCTAGCTAGCGTATGATATTTATGTGCACATGATTGTTTGATTGAGGGTTTGGGTTGAGGTGGTCATGCTTTGTGCTTGTGCCAACATACCCAGGGCGGACCGGATAGACTGTAGACTCGATTAGGGCATACTAGTCAGGTCAAAGGCCCGACGAGCGGTCCGGATAGGCTGAAGGCCCTGAGAGGCGGTCCATACGTGTCGATGGCTCGGAGAGCGGTCCAAATAGACTGATGGCTTGTGAGGCGGTCCAGTCAGGCGGATGGCTCATTATGCATGCAGTTTGATATGATATGGTTATATTTGTATGGCGTTGGTATTTCGGGGGAACTCATTAAGCTTCGGGCTTACAGTTGTTGATTTTGTTTCAGGTACTTCGGATGATCGCGGGAAGGCGAAGGCGTGATCGTGCACCTCTTTATATTTTTATGACTTGATTCTGGGATACTCTGACATGAAACAATTTTGAAAACAAATCTGTAATAATTATCGGTTTTTGATCGATTTAAAAAGTTTTAAATTGGCTTGATTTTCGAGGGTGTTACAAAGTGTGCAAGCTTGAGAGGTTAATTTATGGACTCAAATAAGCATCTCACAAATAGAACATATGTCCGATGAAAAGATCAAAGAGTTTGGTTTCTTGAGAAATGAAGATGAGCAATATGTATATGTTAAAGCTAGTGGGAATGCTTTAGTCTTCCTTGTATTATATGCCAATGATATGTTACTCATAGGAAACAATGTCCCAACACTGCAAAGTATAAAATCTTGGATTGGAGAATATTTCATTGTGAAGGACATGGGAAATGTCGTGTACATACTTGGTTTAAAGGTCTATAGGGATAGATCTAAGTGATTAATTAGAATAAGCCAAAGTACATACTTAGATAAGATCTTGAAGAAATTTAAGATGCAAGATTCTAAGTAAGACATTATGCCTATGCAATGTGGCCCGATATTGAGTAAGACTCTATGTCTTAGTACTGGTGAAGAACTGGACAGGATGAGTCGAATCCCATACGCTTTGGCTATAGGACCAATCATGTATGCCATGATATGTATTAGAATTGATGTCTCATGTTCCTTGAGCATAACGATTTGTTATCTGTCCAACCCACGTGAAAGTTATCGGATCGCAGTCAAGAACATTCTGAAGTATCTTATGAGGAATAAAGATATGTTCTTGCTCTATAGTGGTAAGGACGAGATAATTTTAAATGGTTATGCATATGCAAGTTTCCAAACTGATAGAGACGATTTCCGATCTCAGTCGAGATTTATGTTCTTAATGAATGGAGGAGCAGTGATGTGGAGGAGTTCCAAGTACAACACCATACCAGATTCAACGACATCGTCAGGGTATATTGCAGCTAATGAAGTTGCAAAGGAGGCGATGTGGTTGAAGAATTTCATCAATGATCTAGGTGTTTTTCCCAACATAGTTGATCCTGTTGAGATCTTCTACAACAACAAGGATGCAGTCGCATTGACTAAGGAACCCCAAGAACACAAATGCACGAGACATATACCCAGAAAGTTCCACTACATCAGAAAGCTCGTGGAAGACGAAAACATCATAGTAAGCCTTATATCATCTGAAGAAAACCCAACTGGTTCATTCACCAAACCATTATCACATATCAAGAATAATGGTCATAATAGATCGGTACGCATTAGATTTGCTAGTAAGTTGGTTTGTTTACTTAGTTTATATTTTGCTATTTTGGAACTGACACATTTTGTATTTTATCTGACGTGGTGATTTATTTTCTGGAGACTTCATAATAATATGAAGCTACCATTTACAATAATATATTTTTGTGTTCCCTTCTGCATGTTTTTAACCACTTCCAGAGTATTCATTTATTCAAACCTCCACAGTCGGTCCTGATGGGATTTCTAGGTTATAAAAATTCATGTGGCGAAAAAAAATCGTAAACCCTTAAGTTCACATGCAACCTAAAAAGGATATATGTTTTCTCTGTTGACAACAACTAACTATGAATATCAAGAAACCCTAGGAAACCCTGGTATAATCAAAATTACAAAAGGTTTAGGGTTACATACCTTTTTGATTAATGTAGCAAGTAATCAACCAAAATCTCCTTTGACTTCCTTAGAAATCAAGAACTAAAAGTTTGGATGCCTCTAATGGATTGTACCCAAAACTCTAGAAACTAGAAGACTTTAAGAGAGGGGAGAGAAGTGCAAAACTTCGGCTCTTGTATGAGGGATGTGAGGGACCAAATTAGAGAAGCCTTAAGGGGGTTTATATAGGTGAATAAGGCAAGTAGCCCTAGATAACCATTATCCCTTTTATTGCTCCCTAAGGCTCCTAGAAACCCTAGGAAGCCTCCAAAAAATGTCCCCTTCTATGGGAAGGTTCTGTAATCCTTCAATGGTCAACTTTTGAATATTGTCACTTGTAACGCCCGCAGATCCGGGCTAGTCGATTTAGAGACAATAAGTGTCGAAAAAGACTTTTCGACAAAAGATTATTTAGAATAAATAATCTTAACCAAGTTTTAGAATACATCTCAAGGGTTCCGTACATATAAAGAACGCCGAAATCCGAGTTATAACGAAGAAGTTATGACCCGTCGAAGTTTTACGACAAAACCGGCACGACGCTGTGAGACGTAAATAGTGAATTTACGATAGAGGATTTTTTAGCCTTAGAAATCTAAAGCAAAGTTGTAGTATACATTAAAATGAGAGAGTGCATAAAAAGAACGCCCAAATCTGACTTCGTATGAGGAAGTTATGATTTTTCTAAGATTTGACTTAGTAGTGCACAACCCGGAATTCGAATTTTAGATCGGTCGATTTTTAACCAAAAAAGTCTAAACGAGAAATGAAGATATCGTTAATAGGAGTTAAACGATAAAAAGACAGTAAAAAACGGAGCTCGTATGCGAAAGATATGGACGAAGCTTAGTCTCTACTCTTCAAGCGCGACGAATTCGATGCAGTTTTGTAAATCTGAGATAGAATGAGAATTACCCAACGTGGTCTAAATGAAAGTTGTAGTACTCGTAAATACCAACGCGTGGATATAAATAACGTCGAGAATAGAGCTCATATGTTAAAGATATGGACGAAACTTAGTATTTACTCTTCAAGCGCGACGAATTCGATACAGTTTTGTAAATCTGAGATAGAATGGGAATTAGCCGACGAGGTCTAAATGAAAGTTGTAGTACTCGTAAATACCAACGCGTGGATATAAAGAACATAGAAAACGGAGCTCGTACGCGGAATATACGGACAAAACTTATGGACTACTTTACGATAAAACCCCTATAAATAAATGGTGAATCCTTCATATTTCCCACACCTTTCACCCTCTCTTTCTCTCTCTAACTTATATCTAACCTCCTTAAACCCCTCCCAAGTCTAGGGAACCTCCCTAGCATTAGAAGGAAGCCTCGGAGCGCCCGACGGCTCCGAGAAAAAGAGTTTTTCGGCTCAAAAGCTCTGCTCCAGCGAAACCCGGTTTTTAATAAAAACCCGCTGTAAGTGAGATACGCCTACCATAATTTAAGTATAGCTTATATTTAAATATAATATCGTTATTATGAACCTATAATTAAGATTTATCAGTGATTCAAAGTCTTTATACTGATTGATCTACTTACGAGAATGATGTCTAGGCTGTGATTTAGTGAGGTGTTTAAAGTGAGATTTCCAAACATTATACTTCGTATACC